TAGAGTTTTAGCAACAGAAATTTATATGGAGGAGCAAAAGAATTCCTGAATAGAACAGAGCTATTGTACCAAACAACTGAAACACTTTCCTCTCAATACATTATGTAATACTGCACCTAGTTAAGCCTTTGGGTAAATTGAAATATTTAACACACCAACTTGTTTCCCAGGAATACCCTTTTGAGAGAAACTCATAAACTGTGAAAGATAGAAATAGATCATGAAATATCTTCTGCCAAAAAGATAAACTTCTCAAACTTCTGTCAAAAGGTCAAAATCGGATCACTATTTCCACTGCTGCATATTTTGTCTGCTGAAGTTTTCAAGTTTAGACCCTAGCATGCTCAATTAAAGAATCTCAGATAGTAGAGATGCATGACATTTTTTTCTGGCACTTAGGCAAGTGCTGTCATGGTAGTATGTATCAAACCAGATTGATTGACAATTTGCATTAATTAATTAGAAAGCATTTAAGCAGGTTTATAAGTCACTTGTGGCTTACATTTTTACTGTGCGAAACACTGTAATAAAAATGGCTGCTACATAGTATGTGTAGCCATTTGGCACTACAAGTTACTTATGTATATTCCTAAGAATTCAACCAACTGAATAGGCCACCAATTCTGTTTATTTAAAAGATGCAGGTTCCTCCCATTCTGCGCATGCATACGCACACATACATACACACAAATATCATTTTTTTATTAATGACATCATTAATTTTCAGATTATCAAACTATTTGCAAACATTTTAGTTCTTAAAACAAAAATCCTTGAACACCTAAAGGTTGTAATTGGTTGCTTATGAAACTTGTGGAAGCAAACCTGTCCCAACACATGTTAACTGGATAATTGTATCTAACCAGAAATCCATCAAACCAAGACTAAGGAAAATTAACAAAGAGGAGATGATGAAGGCTAGCCTTTAAGCAAGTGTGCACTCACCAAATGGCAATTAATTACACTGGATACAGTATTCTAACACTGAGGTTTGTAAAGTGTGACGCTTGAGAGTTTGAATTATGAATTAAAATGCCTCTAATTTTTATGTCAATTTTACCAACTTTCAATAGATAACCTAAAATAAACCTGACTCTTAAAGCCAAATGAACAATGAACACATTTGGATATCATATTAATTTAAAGTTTGATTTGGCTCCGAATGCTAAACGAAATAAAATAGAAGTGTGGGATCTGCAATGTATTATGCGTAAACCAGGAATTCTGACTCCTTTCTCTTCTAACAAGCCATAATCAAGTTCAAAACCTATTGGAAGAGGAGCCAGACAGATCGGTCAGCAAGCAAGAGTATACTGTTTGTTCACCCAAAAGTGATAAATGCACTAATATGATTACAAAATATAATGTGAACATAAATGTACCTGATTTTTCTTCCATGGAAAGTCAGGAAACTATTCATTACATGGAAAATCCGGAATATCCGGAGAAGGGGAAAAAGAAGGAGGAGGTGCGGCAGCATTAAGTGCAGGCATTTATTGTCCAGTTTGGCTCTTAGATTTAGTCCAGGATTTATCTTCAGTCAGAGGATAATACCCATCTATTTTATCAGATTAACTTTTTATTAAAACATGTATATTCTGCCAGGTGATTCAAAACCACATTGGCAGTAGCACACAAACTGGTTTAACTCTTTAAGGAGTAGTAAACAACAATACAACTTAAAAGAATTTTTTTTAAAAAACCCATCAAATGCAGAGGGCACAAAGGCAGCTAAAAATAAAGAAAAAAAGTATTTCCCCAGCATGTACAATCTAGCAAACAGATGGAAGAGTGTAATGCCATTTTTATCCTGCTTTTTCCAAATATACTCCCAACACTTCTGTGACCAGGAGCCGATCTTATGGAAAGGTCTTAAAATACAAGAAGCATCTTCTTCAGTATTGAAGAAGGAAGCTGTAAAAATATCTTAGATCCTGATAGTTTCGTTTTTTAATTATTAACGCCAGCACTTTTAATTAGTTCTCAAAGCTACTGAAAATCCCCGTATGTTTTAAAACTGGCATTCTCTATTCCCTCTTGCTGATTTTGTCTTTTTCTCACAGCATGGTATACTGAACTGACATTTTCAATAACCATCTATTGAAGAAAGCTCTTATTATCAGGGCATTCAACATAACCATCTTTATTAGAAATACTGGGGGGACAAAACTGATTACTGTAAACTAAACCAGTATCTGAATTATTTTTGTAGTCTACTTCTAAAATATCTGTTATTAAAGTTAATGAATATTAACTCCAGCAATGAGTTACATGTTGTTAGCACCACTATTCTTTTCTCATCAATCTGTTAATTGTAAGAGAAACAAAGCACTGTCTTAAGAAATAGGAAGGATTCCAATTTTGCCTTGGCTAGAGCACACATTTGAAAATTTGAAAACATGTTGTGAATGCTCTTGCAGAATGACTGCTTTCGGTAGCTTAGCAAAATGGCTACCACAGAGAAGATTTCCAGTTATCACGCCAGCATTGACCTAAATGTTCTGCCACCTTCACCTGCACCACTATCGTCTCTTCGTACACTTTTCTTCCATTTTCTAAACTAGCTCTACGCTGCTGCCATCCATTCCTTTTATTTTCTAATATAGCTAAATAGATGGAGCCTATCTGCAGCTCAAAAGTATTCTTGAAAAGTAACTATGAGTCTGGAGGCTTTTATTTTGCTTTGAATCATGACAGCTATCTATTTTTTAAAAAAAAATGGGGGAGGGGAATCAAATAATATTTTTAAAAATGTAAAAATTTGGGTGGGATAGAAAATCTTGCAAGTACTTTGGCACCAGACTGAGGCCCCAAATAATGAAGTATTTGCTTCAACTTTAAATAACAGCTATAAAATCCATTCTTTTCACTCACACACACACACACATGCACACACACCAATCCAATTGTTTTTATTGCCAGAAATAGAATGCAAGAAGAAAATTACATACATATAATAATTATAAATAAGGAATTCTTTTTTCAATGCAAAAAAGAAGTCACCAAAAGGATTTGTTTAATATAATAGACATCATTTTTTCGAGAGAAAACTGTTTCTGTTTTAATCATGTTCCATCTTTCTATACATGGAAATTGAACTTGTGAGCAGATATTGATAAGGCTCTCATAAAGCACACGGAGAAGCAATGAATGCAAATCAATAGGGAGGCTCCTAATGTAAAATAGCTGAAGCATTTTACTAAACACACCAGTTCTTTAAATGTTCCACACAAATGCAACCTTCCTGTTAGTATCACAACTTTTTTAGGGCACCATTTTGATAACTATTAGAATTATGTTCCGATTAATAAAGGTTTCACAGATTTAAATTTTTCTTTGGAAGGTGCTCAGCCTGCAACAAAACCAAATGCCAATTAGTCAATAATATTTTGATTACCTCAAGCAAGAAATTTTCTTTATCAGATAAAGCTGAAGAGAAAGGTAACAAATAAATAGTTTAATTTAATTGGGCACCTTAGTTTTATGTATTTTGCTGCTTCTATCTTCTATCTGTCTTGCACAAGCCCTTAATTAGTCTTTAGGGAAGACTTGTGAGGTAGAGGCCACAAGATCACTTGCAAAACTTTTAACAGGCCTGTCAGAGAATTGTTTTCTTTCACCTGCGGGGAGTGTTATAGCTCAGATGGGGAACAGGGGTTTTTCAAATCCCTCATTGGTGCAGCTTGTTATTATGATTCAGTGTCACTCTTTAGTAAAACTGTTTCTCCTGTAAAGTTGGTCTGCTTCCCAGTATTCTCTGCCACTTTTGCAATCCAATCTTCAGCCAAGCTCTGTCAACACAGGGAGGGGAGGATAGGCCGAGGAATCAAAGACCTGGCAACGCCCTGTCAGTGTTGCAACAAAACTAAGAAGATTGTGGTACTACAACTGCCCCCATCCATGATCCTGAGCAGATCTATTCCTTCCCAGAACTTTCCAATAGACAAACTTCTACTATTTCGTTTCAACAGGCCATGTGCTCTGTGAACTGATCACTATGTAACATAAATTTCATACCTGCCTTTTATTTCTCTCAGAATTTCCATTTTGCAATCTTTTCCCATTCCCCATACCAATTTTCAACTAGTTTCTTTATCACTTTGGCTTTATTGAGCCATGATGTGATCAGACAGGCAATTTTCATACTTTTGGAAGAACAACATGAAATGCTCCCTAAAAGAATTGTGTACTTTTTAATTGTGTTTTCATTTAAGAGCTATGTTTTTTTAAAAAAAAAAGTCTACCCAGCTTATCATTAACTTTATATTATTTTTATTTCTTATCAAATCATTTGTTTCATCTTTTAGATCTCCAGGAAATATCACAAATTAAAATCCATGTGTTGTAAGCCAATTATGGAAATAGGCTTTAATTCCCACTCAGTGCTGTTTGTATTACTAGCAAATATATCCATTTCCTCCATTGGTGCAAAATTATCCTTTATACCAGAGCTTTTATACCAATTTTCAGGAGTAAAATAACTGTATCTTTTCCAGCATGTGATATTTCATAAATACCATGCGTCTTCATTTAGTTAAATGAACCAAGAATGCTGATTTTATTACAATTCTGAAAGTTTTTAAAAAGAGCATCTTAAAATTTATTTCTGTTTTTCCTCAGTTCTCTAGAGATAGATCTAGGAAAGACATTTGGCCCGTTTTTTGGCTGGAATACTAACAATTTTTTAAATTGCAAAATAGGTTGGAAATTGTGTCCCATAATACGTATTTTCATCCACTACTCTTTGACAGTATAATAACAGAAAATTCATGTACATCTACTTAAAAAGAAGATTCATCACTCTCCTAGATAAGCATGCATATGATTATACTCTAAGAATGCAATGACTTAGAACCAAAGCTATGATATGTAAATACAAGCAGAAACATGGGTGGGATTCAATTTTTTTAACGAACGGTTCTGTGGGCGTGGCTTAGTTGTTGGGCATGGCTTGGTGGTCATGTGACTGGGTGGTCATAAGTGTGAAAAATGGTCATAAGTCACTTTTTTCAGTGCCATTGTAACTTTGAATGGTCACTCCACACAAGCAAAGTACCAGCAAAGGAGGGAAAAATACTCCAGAGAAGTTCCTGAGACAGGAAGTCTAGTCCTGCCAAGAATGGAATAAGAGTTAATGGAGAGGCAGTTTCTGTAAGCAACACCAGAATGTTTCCTTCCTGCCTTTCTTACAGGATTAGGCCAGTAATTTCTCCTAACAACCGGTTCTCCAAACTGCTTAGAATGTTAACAACCTGTTCTAGCGAATAGGTGCGAACTGGTAGTATCCCACCCCTGAGCAGAACTCTTCGAAACTGTGTCGTATCCCTTTTCTACTGTAGATCCCCCGCCATGCTCCATCCCAGCCTGGTTGCAGCAGAAGATACTGTAGCATGAAGATGCTGCAGCATGAAGATGCCAGTGTGACAAAATCAAGCTGCATCAACAGAGTTATATTTGCACTTTTGTGGATCATTATGACTTTTTCTGAACTTTGCATGCCAGGATATCAAAGGAATTGATGAATGGGATCTCAAAACCACTGACTGCTATCTTTGAGGACTTCTAGAATGGGCGTGGGAAAGTGCCAGAAGAGCTAACCTTACTCCAATCTTTGTAAAGGGAAGAAAAATCCACACAGGAAACAGAAAAATCTGTTTAATGGGGAACATTTGGGACAATCCTAGAAAAGACCATCAAGCAGCACTTTGCAACCCCTTAGAAACAAATATGATTACCAGAAGCCAGCATCAGTTTGTTAAAAATAGGTCATGTCAGAAATTATTTTTTGGGAGAAGAAGGGTAAAAGTGATTAGACCAGTGGCTCAAAGGAATATTGCAGATGTAGCATCCTTAAGAGTTCTGTAAGGCCTTTGATGCATATATATAAAATAGATAGCAGCTGGCTGAGCAGTAATATTGTGAGAAAGTGGTTGGTACACTGGTAGACAACAAATTAAGCAAGAACCAGTAATATGTGCAGCTGCAAAAAGAGCCAAAGCAATCTTGAACAGTAGATGAATAGTATGGAGACCACAAGAAATAACAGCACCCATTCAATGCTGCACTGGGCAGAATATTATGTCCAATTCTCAAACTCCAGCCACAGTACAAAAAGGATGCAGATTAACCAGAAAGAGGGCAGATAATTGCAATAACGACGATGAGGCTCTTGGAGACTAACTCCTATACAGAAAGATTAAAAGAATTGGCTATATTTATCCTAAACCAAAGAAGCCTAAGGGGAGACACACTGTAATACGGTAGCAGTCTTCCCACATGTGAAGAGCTGTCATAGGAAAAAAAGATGTAGATTTATTCTCCATAGCATCTCAGCATCCAAGAGTAAAACAAAAACTAATGGGAGGAAGTTTTTTAGAAAAAAATCTGAAATAATGAAGGATTTCTTGGTCTGAAGATCTCTAAGAACTTTTCCTATGCTTTTGAGGGACGGGACAGCTGCTGTGTTTTTGCCTGCTTCCTAGGGCTGAGAGAGAATGAGTGGTCCAAGGTTATCCAGTTAGCCTCATGCATAAGGCAGGCCTAGAACTCACAATCACCTGTTTTCTAGCCTGGTGTCTTAACCACTGCACTAAGCCGATTATGCTTTTACAGAATCCCTCTTAAAATGGCTAATATATTTCTGTCTAATCTCTTCTGAAAGTATCAATGATATTTAATATAATCATAAGAAATAAAGATTATGTTTTTTTAAAGAAAATGTTTGCAAGCTTAATATCTAAATTTCACAGGCATATTCAACGTCTTGACTTGATCAAACTTATAATTTTTCTTATTCTTTCTTTCTTTCTTTCTTTCTTTCTTTCTTTCTTTCTTTCTTTCTTTCTTTCTTTCTTTCTTTCCTTTCTTTCTTTCTTGGGGTCTCATTCTTGAGCACACAGTATATATTGGAGTCAAATTTACTGCTCATATTACATGTTGCTATAATTGTGCATTTTGAATCCTTCTCTCATTAGATTGTTGCATGCATATCAACTTAATCAACAGATGCTCCAAAAACCTCAGTTTCTTTGATCAATACATGGGTTTGTATGTGGTTCTCAGGTAATCAGTTTCTGCAATTCAGCTTCAAATATTCTTATTGAATGCTATGAATGGATTACTGAATTTAACTGAATACTGTTTTCTTATTACTGTAATTTTCTTCATATAAAATAACTTGGCCCTACATTTAGGTTGCTAAGGAAAATACATAGATGAGGGCAATTGGTAAAATTTAAAACTAACACTAGTTAAATATATGAGCAATTTTAACAACCAATTTCATATACACTAATCATTTACATTTCTTCTCTCCTACTAGTATATTGGTATATGTGAAGCAAGCCCAGAAGTCATTCTGGCACAAGAGAAACAGTCATTGTGCAATATCAGGGCTATTTTTAAATGAAATATATTGCTACATTCATTTTACAGATAAGTTACAGATAATCAGAGTTGGAAGGGGCCTTGTAGCTCATCTAGTCCAATCCCCTACCCAAGCGGGAGACCCTACACCATTTCTTACAAATGGCAGTCCAATCTCTTCTTGAAAGTCTCAACTGATGGTCTCCCACAACTTCCGAGGGCAAGCTGTTCCATTGGTTGATTGTTCTCACTGTCAGAAAGTTTCTCCTTGTTTCCAGGTTAAATCTCTCCTTGTTCAATTTACATCCATTATTCCTTGTCTGGCCTTCAGGTGCTTTGGGAAATAGCTTGACCCCTTCCTCCCTGTGGCAGCCCCTCAAATATTGGAAGACCGCTATCATGTCTCTCTTGGTCCTTCTCTTCACTAGACTAGCCAAGCCCAGTTCCTGCAACCGTTCATTGTATGCTTTAGTCTCTAGTCCCCTAATCATCCTGGTTGCTCTTCTCTGTACTTTTTCTAGAGTCTCAACATCTTTTTTATAATGTGGTGAACAAAACTGGATGCAGTACTCTAGGTGTGGTCTTACTATGGCTTTATAGAGTGGTATTAGTACTTCCCTTGATCTTGACTGTATCCCTCTGTTAATACAATTTAGGATTGCATTAGCTTTTTTGGTGGATGCTGCACACTGCTGGCTCATATTTAGCTGGTTGTCCACTAAGATTCCAAGATCCCTCTCACAGTTACTGCTATTGAGCCTGGTTTCACCCAGTCTATATGGGTACTTTTGGTTTTTCTTGCTTAAGTGTAGGACTTTACTTTTCTCTATATTGAATTTCATTTTATTAGATATGGCCCAATGTTCTAGTCTGTCAAGATCCATCTGGATCTTGAGCCTATCTTCTTGGGTGTTAGCTATTCCTGCCAGCTTAGTATCATCTACAAATTTGGTAAGTTCTCCTTCTATTCCCTCATCTAAGTCGTTAATGAAGATATTGAAGAGTACTGGGCCTAAGATGGAACGTTGTGGCACCCCACTGCTTACTTCCCTCCATGTAGACTTAGACCCATTAAGGACTACTTGTTGAGTACGGTTTGCCAGCCAGTTGCGAATCCATCTAGTGGTGGTGCTATCTATTCCACCTTTTTCTAGCTTACTAAGAAGTAGGTTGTGGTCTACTTTATTGAATACCTTGCTGAAATCTAAATATATTATGTCCACAGTATTTTCATTTTCATTTCAAGTAGAATATTTCTTCAAACTTCTTTACTGATAAGACAACATAGACCCAAATTATATTAATCATTGATGCTTACACTATGTATGTCAAAGCAGGCAGGATGGTAGACATGGCATCACAGTACAAGTCTCGACACTTTTGTATGCACACACATTATAACAAGCACAAAAGGGATGCAGCTTGCAATGTAACACCATGTCTGCTGTCTGGCCCATTTTTACCTCCCCTATAGACGATTATGTCATTCTAATTATTCAAACATTACCCTGTTATTACTTTGAGAGAAATGAATAGAAATTAACTACTACTGTTTCTACAGTATGGAATAAGGAATTAAGAAATAAGATGAAAATATGTCACAATTAGAGATACAGAAAAATCTACATCAACACATTTGTTATGAACATTAGGAAAGCTTTGGACTGCAGACTAAGAATTCCATATTTGACTTATGGAGGCCTAGCAGAAGCCCCTCCTCAAAAGACTAATGATACCCTTGTCTTTTTTCTTGTGCAGGAAGTATGAACAAGGAAGAAGGAAGCAATTGTTCCTCTCCTTCTGTGAATGGAAAAAGATAATTCCTTTCTGTTTATACCTGACATGATGGATAATACTCACTCCCCTAGTGGCAATGCTAAGAACAGATGTTAGGAAATGTTAAGGGTTTCATTCATGGTGAGAAAATGATAATTTTAAATGATGTTTAAAAATTAATTTTGACTTGTATTTGTGCCAGAATTTAGCCAGTGTGGTACCTAATCTGTGGAATTATCATTCCACTAAGCTCAAATGCAGTACAGTCTAGTACAGACTGCTTTCACCAAAAATTTAGCATGTAGCAAAATACTTGACCAACAATATTACTAGTTGCTGTAGTGAGTATGGTAATTATATTTGTTATTTTAACTTTTTAATAAATTATTTTATTTAATTCTTTTGTATCAAATTAGAACCTGTTCATAAATTCTTTTAGAAGATTTGATATTTTAATAACTGAATCCAATTCCTTCTCTAATTAGGTTTTTTTCTTCTTCCTAGCATTTTCCTGTTTCCTTCTTTATTAATCAAGTGTTGATCCATTGATTGTAACAGAAATTGACTGACAAGCTTGTTGGCTAAGTGTGATGTCATGGGCTGAGAGAGAGTGATTGACCAAAAGCAGTGGTGGAATTCAAAAATGTTTACTACCATTTCTGTGGGTGTGGCTTTGTGGCCGTGGTGTGGCTTGGTGGACATGGCTTGGTGGGCGTGGCAGGGGAAGGTTACTGCAAAATCCCCATTCCCTCCCCATCCTACTAACCTGCTTTCCAGCTCTGTTCTCCTATGCAGGGAAACAAAAGAAGACCCAGCCAATCAGTTGAGACTCAGGAGGCAGAGAATAGAGGGAGGAAGCTATGGGTAATGG